TAATAATTAGCTATAATATGCATACTATAAGCAGTAATATCCTTAGTATTATTAAATTTATTTGAAAGGAATTTTTAGGTGAAAATATTCTTAAACCTCTTTTTTATTACTTCCCTTTACATAAAGCTAGAGTATATAAATAGTTTATTTAGGATTTTATATAGATTACTATGAATAGTAATTATAGCTTATTATAGAGAATTAAAATTGAAACTAATATTAAAACATTATATCTAATTATAATTTTAGATAGACTAAAAGTGGTGCCAATATTAAGGTTAATATAGGCTAGTTTTCTTTCACTACTAGTATAAACCACTCTAAAGAATTATCTACCCTATAAACTAGCTTAAAATTATTCTAAGTTTAGGTTATAATTATTTATAATAATATATAAGCTATTACTATTACTACTAGAGAATAAGATATAATATCTTTTATAATATAGATTTATTTTAATAATAATTCTTTTCTTAGAAATATTAATATTAATAAATATAAGTTTAACTTAGATGTTTTAAAAGATATTAAAACCTTCATAAAGGTTATCTAGATTATTATTATTTCTAGCCTAAGATATAAAATCAAAGTTAGCGCTTTAACTACTAATACTCTTAATATTAGACTAAAGGAGATAATAAATGCTAGTAATAATATGAATATTTTTAATATTCCTATTAGTTTAAGTAGAAATAGTAGTAGTAATAAGGAGAATAAAACCTATATAGCGAAATAGCATAAAGCTAATAAGATTTTTAAAGTTATTTTAAACTTTAATAATAACTACACTATAGTTATTAATATAGTTACTAAAATGTGTTAACACAGGCATAAGCGTATTCAGGGGCGTGGTATATGCGCCTATATAGTATAAGGTTATAGATGTGGTAATGTTATGATAAAAGGTAATAATTCTGAGCATTTATGAGCATTTAATTGTATAGATAATAATAAGGGAACAGATGTATTGTGATGAGTCTGGTTGTTGTTGTTGGCAGGTTGCATCCTCTAGTAGGGAAAAGTGAGGGGAAAGATAACCTGAAACGTAACCTGCTAAACTGCTAATTACATAAGGTACTTACGTAACTATACGTATTACATAATCAATGTTAAGGTTATAGGTTATAATGAATAGAGTATTTTTATATAAGTTTTTGTACCTTAAACTTTATTGGTTTATTTTATATAGAATATTAAAGTAAGTTAAGCGTTATTATTATTCTTATATTATTATTATTATAAAAGAATGTTATATGTTAACATAATGTTTTAGATTTAAGTCTAAACTATAATAAGTATTTATTATAAAAACATAATAGATCTAAATTTTATTAGCTATTATAGATTTCACTTTAGAGTTTACTAGTAATTAAATATTATATAAAATAAAATAATATAGTTATATAGCTATTCAACAGCAGGGCGTTTATTTTATTTAGTAATTTTATCCTTACTAAGCTTAAGGTTGTTTTATTTAAATATAATATTAAAATGTTTAATATCTTAAGAACTATCTTATATTATTCTTTTATATATTAGAAAATATTTAAAACTTTTTATATTTTTCTTTTTAGGTTATATTTAAGCCTATACTCTGTATATATAATATATAGAGGTAGGGATCTTAGAGGCTATTTTAACTATAATATTTAAGGGACATAGTCACTAGCTTAAATAATATCCTATTTCTTAACCTTTTTAGCTTTTTAAGAAATTATATTATAGCTGTAGATATAAAAATAAGATTATTATATTAAGGCTTTATCTAAATAGTAAAAAGGTTCTAAATAAAGAGGTTTAATTTATATCTATTAGTTAGTATTTTAGAATTATAAGATTAAGCTTTATATATATTAAAACTAATTAATATTATTAAGATTAATATTTAGTTTTAATCTTTTATCTATTATACTTTATACGCTAAAATATTTAATATAGTTAGAAAACAATTATTAAATAATCCCCTTACATATAGCTTATTCTCTTGATCCTATAGCTTTAGGTGAACTTTTATAAATAGAAACATTTAGAAGATCTTATTTAGGAGGTTATTCTTTAGTTGCTCTAATACTAATATATTTAGTTTTACTTTTTTATTCTTATGTTGTTACTACATTAAAAAAAGCTTTATAGGAAGTTTAGGAGGTAGATTAAGTATTAAATTAATGTTATGTACCAAAAAGATATATATTATCTAGAATACCTTCTTTTTAACTTCTATAAGTGTTATTCTCACCTAGAAACTAAAAGTATTCCTAGTAATTAAAATTAATAATCTATATGATATATATATCATAATAGTGCGATTTACTATAAGTTTTATTTTATATTAAAAATATGTATATTAATATACTTAAGTATTAGCTTTTAGTTTCTAATTATTTAGTAGATTACTTTGATATCCTTTTTATGAAAAGAAATTTTAATGGTATTAAGCTGTAGGAACCTAAAGTTTTTCTATATCTAAATAAATCTTTTAAAAACATTAATTTATATTAAGCTTAAGTTTTTCTTTGAGTTCTTTTTAGTTTAGCGTTTACTAATAAATATAAAGCCTACAAGTATATATAAAAACTAATAAATTATATATTTTAGTAGCTTATTATTTTTAGTAAAGGTATCAAAACTAACATTATATAAAATATAAAATATATTACTTTTTTCTATTATATTAGTTATATTATAAGGAATAGCAAATTAGTATAGAACTACTTAAATAACTAATTATTCGAGGTTAAAATAGATTTTATTAAGTTTTTCTGCTTTAATATATCCTAGGAACTTATCTGCTATATATATTTTAGGTTTTCTTTTATTTAAGCTTTATATTTATGAATATTATAATAATTATATCTATATTTATTAATCTAATTATCTAAAGTTATAATAGAATCTTTTTTTAAAACTTCTTTGTATTTAAACTCAGCTAACTTAAACTATAATAAAGCTTTACGCTTAATAGCTTAGTATTTATTTTCTACTATTTTTAATTTCTCTTTGTTTATTCTATTAGTCTAAATTATAAAACCCAATTATCAGCTAATATAATTAGAATTTAGAAAATAATTAATATTTTTAATAATTATTAAAATAGCTATATTATAATATGTTAGATCTTAATACTACTTTTTATTAAGATTTATAGTTTTTATTTATCTCTCTAAATACTAAATAAAAAGATATTTATTTTTGCTTAAAATTAGACTTTAGTTATTTTAGATATAATTAATAAGAGAGAAAACATAAATATTAATATATATACTATTTAGTTTTATTAGTGTACCTTTTTATATTAATATTAAGGTGAAGAATACCTAGTTATTATTACTAGATATGTTGCTTATATTACTAGATATTTTTGTTTATAAAGCAAAAAAATATATTTTTAATTAAGAACTAAATAACTATTATAAGCGTTTTATATATATAAGAATACTAGCTAATATTATTACCAGTTTTAAAAAGTGTAGTTCTATAATAAAAGAGGGTAAGTGTTATAAATAATATATACAAAAAGGTAAAGTGAATATATATATATATATATATAGATATCTATAGAAAAAGAAGGGTAATAAGGATTATAAGGTAGGGGTTATATATAGTTTTATAAAAACTTTTATTATGTAACATGGTTCATCAGTCAGCAACAAATATCAGTTAGCGACAAACTTTTTCCCATCCATATAGTGGTATTTACTATTGCACAACCACAACACATTTAATTAACTATTCCTCATTACTACTCGAATCATTTGATAATTCCACATCCTTAGAACAGGTTCTCGCATTATGACCAGTCTTACCACACACACTACAGCATCTCTAAGCTAGCTGGGCTCTCTTTAATAGAACCTCCTCCTCATCCTCTTAAAGTGCTAGACGTTTCCCTTTTTATTTTTCTTTAAGCAAAACCTAAGATTCCTCTATACTAAGTGCCCCTCTAAGCTGGACCTACGTTCTTTTAGCCCTCTAGCGCTTAGTAAGTGCTATATTTATATCCTTAAGGGTATAAAGCTAATTAGTTAAAATAGTGATTAAGTGCGCTATTACCTTTACACCCTTTAATAATTACTTAACTATAGTAATAATTAGTATTAATAAGCTTCCTTAATAATAGAGATATAACTTTTAATAAAGTTAGACTGTAAAACGGTTTGTTATAGATTAGAGGGCGTTTGCAACTGCTAAGGTGGTAGTGTTGAAGGGTTGGCTATAGGAGGTGTAGGCGTCTGTAAATACATATCAAGCTTTTTGATAACATGGTCTAGGTCCTATGGTGAAATTCTAACGCCTTGGAAAGCAGACCTGATGTTTTCCTTATTAAAAACCTTATTATGGGCTTATTAGAAGGCAATAAAGAACTCTAACTTAGTGATATGATTTATAGAGGCTCTAATGAATTAGTTGATTTTATTACTATATATGCGTTTTAAAGGTGAATAAAGGGTAATATCTAATGGCTGTAGTAGATATAATAAGTATGCAGGCATACTGATGGTTATAATATTATTCTGCTTATAGTAATTATTGAATTCAGCTGATAAATAGCTTTTATAGCTGTTAATAATAAGCATCCAGTAGGCGCCCTCTGTTTAGTTCTTAGTATATTTAATAAAGTGTTTAATCTGTCACGGGCTAGAGCCCAGATTGATATCTCCGGCTTTGCCGGAGCAATTACTGAGATCCAGCTCCGTTGGACCCACTACTCTGCCGCGTTACACCGCCTAACCCGGTCTGCTTCACCGCTGTTAGGTGCCTACTCTTGTAAAGTCCTTTCTTCCTTCTTCAGCTGAGAATAGTTAATCGACGGCACCTCTACGTTGAACAAGCCTAGGGGCCAGCCCCTTACATATTCTCAGCTCAACAACAAAAGACGCTATACGAAACCTCACGAGAGCGATACGACTGATTCGCTAGAGGGTAGCGCAACGAGAAGACGCTATACGAAACCTCACGAGTGCGACACAATAGATTCGCCTGAGGGTAGCGCAAACGACGCGATGACTGCAGAGATTAACCGCAGGGTTAACGAAGCAGTCAACGCAAGCATACGTCCTCTTCAGGACCAGATGACGCAGCTCTTGACAGCTCTGAACGGGCTTATGTCAACAGATAGAGCGACCCCTACGCTGCTTACGAGCAGCATACCCACACCGTCCACTGCTGATACAACTATACAGGCAATAAGCGACGGTATAACAATAGCAACAGAAGGGCGAAAGAAGCCCCTGCTAAACCCCCCGAAGTTCACAGGAAGGCGTAAGGACTACGCAGCATAGGCCCAGCAGATGCGCGATAAGATAGAGCTAGATGCAAGGTATATTGGCAGTAATGCTGATATCTGGTACTTCATCAACTCCTGCCTTAATAGCGGGCCACAGCAGGTTGTAGCTACCTTCTACGCAGCAGGAGGTCCAGGTGGGCAGAAGGACTCTGTCGAATTCCTAAAGTACCTTAACCGGACGTATAAGGACCTAAATACAGATCTACAGGCAGCAACCACGCTACGAACCCTTCGCTAGCGAGACGATCAGTCTCTATCCTCCTTTCTACCCCGGTTTGAGCGAACACTAGCTGAGGCTGGTGGCGCCGACTGGGCAGATAAAGCTAAGATAGCCTTCCTTGAAGGGGCCCTTAGTACTCATCTTAAGAGGGGTCTGATCTATATTGAACTTCCTAAGGACGACTACCACAGATGGCTTCTCAAAGTTCAGGATTTCGCTATTAAGCTTGAAAGCCTACCTCAGCAGGCGCATAAGGGTACCCCACCTTATTTGAAAGCACCACAACCTGGCCAATAAGACGCAGACGGAGATGTGGCGATATCTGGCGTTAGCTGCGCTAAGGGCAAGGAGAGGGCAAGGCCACGTCGCCGACGTAGCAGCTCCTCCTCATCTGAAGACCTGCAACAACCAAAGAAGGACAGTCGCCGTTGTTACAACTGTAACCAGATCGGCCATATCGCTGTATGGTGCCCTAGGCGGAAGCCTCTCAGCCCTACGAAGGCTAAGAAGGTTAAAAAGGTTAAGAAGGACCCTAAGCCTGAAGGAAGCAGTAATGATAGTGCTACAGAGGAGCTAGGAAGTTCTGAGGCTGAAGAAAGCTTGGGAAAAGAGTAACTCTAACGCAAAGTCGGGCGTTAGAGGCAAAGCCTAGTGATATCACAGAATAGAAGCAGTTTAAGCATCGCATGAGCAGCAAGTCAGCAGTGATTATTACCTGCATATATAAGGGCACTTAAGTAGACGCCTTAGTAGATACTAGGTGCGACCTATCCGCCCTTATCGACCACAACCTTGCCTGTAAGCTCCGCCTGCTAATAGTAGATCGCTCTGAGCGGGTACTAGGCAGCTTCAGCGACATTACAGGCGCTACGAAAGCAACAGGCGTAGTTATCTTTAACCTCGAGCTGTGCGGTTATGATGAGAAGATCTTTGCGTATACCGTATATAGCCTTAGCGACAACCTGTTCTTAGGGAAACCCTGGATAGAGAGGAACCATATATTATATGATGCTGCTGCCCAGCGTATACGGCATAGGAGGGGTGGTGTAGACTTACGTCTGAAAGGCGAGGAAGAGCCAGAGCGAGTGCGCCAGATCAGGGCTGCCCGCCTCCTCCCAGGAGCCCCTTTTGTAACGCTCTATAGGAGGGCATGACAACAAACCAAAGGAACTGCAGGATATGAAGTTCGAGCGATCAGCTTAGCAGATATACAGAAGGCTCTTACGAGGAAGACTGAGAAGGCAGACCTAAAGGCCCTCCTTCCACCAGCTGTACTAGCTGAGTTCCAAGAGCTATTCCAACCTGACGAAGCTGCTAACCTTCCTCCGCATCGCCCTGGAGTCGACCACACGATCCCTATCAAACAGGAGAGCGACGGCAACGAGGCTGCACTACCATGGGGGCCGCTCTACAGCATGTCATGAGAAGAGCTTCTCATCCTCCGTAAGACCCTGAGAGACCTACTAGATAAAGGCTTTATCCGCGCTAGTAGCTCAGAAGCATCAGCCCCAGTACTGTTTATATGCAAACCAGGTGGAGGGATATATTTTTATGTTGACTACTACGCCCTTAACAAACTTATAAGGCGCGACTGATACCCTCTTCCTTTAATTTGAGAGACGCTACAGACTGTCAGCGCTGCTAAGTGGTTCACTAAGCTAGACGTAGTAGCAGCGTTCCATAAGATCCAAATCGCAGAGGGAGAGGAGTATAAGACAGCCTTCCGAACAAGATATAGGCTATTTGAGTGGCTTGTCGTTCCCTTTAGGCTCACGGGAGCCCCTGCTACGTTTCAGCGATATATTAATAGCGTACTTCAGGAGTACCTAGACGACTTTGCGACAGCATATATAGACGATATCCTGATCTACTCAAATAGCTTAAGGCAAGACCACGAAGCAAAGGTTAAGCTAGTACTACGTAAGCTTGCCGCCGCAGGGTTACATCTAGACCCCTATAAGTGCGCATTCTCTGTTAAGACAGTCAAATACCTAGGGTTTATCATCACTGCAGGTGTGGGTATCTCTTGCAACCCTGAGAAACTGAAAGCAATTAAGGAATAGGCTGCGCTAAGGACGGTTAAGGGAGTCTGAAGCTTCCTAGGATTTGCAAACTACTACTGAATCTTCATCCCAGCGTACTCAGAGATCGCTGGACCCCTAATAGCTCTTATAAAGAAGGGTGTCCTCTTCTGCTGGGGTAAGGAATAAGAAGCAGCGTTCCAGGAGCTTAAGAGGATCTTTGCAGCTAAGCCTGTTCTACACCAACTCAACCCTAAGCGTACAACCTACGTTGAGGCTGACTGCTCAGGCTTCACCCTTAGAGGAGTACTGTCATAAGAAGATAAGCACAGAAGACGTCATGCAGTAGCATACCACTCGCAGCGGCTTAATGCTGCCCAGTTTAACTATCTGATACATGACAAGGAGATGCTAGCTATTATGAGCTGCCTATAAGAATGGAGAGCAGAGCTACAGAGTGTCGGCCACTTTAGGATCCTATCAGACCATAAGAACCTAAAGTACTTTATGACGAAGCAGAAGCTTACAGAACGGCAAAGCCGATAGGCAGAGGAACTATCTCAGTACAACTTCGAGATACAGTACCAGCCAGGAAGTGAAGCAGTAGTGCCAGACGCACTCTCTAGACGCGAACAAGACGTACCTACGTCTCTAGAGGACGAGCGCAAATAAGGCTGGATTCTCCAGCTTCTTCCCGAAGTAGCCCTTACCTCAACGCATACACAACGCGTAGAGGCAGCCCCATCAGTGCTTATGTTCACCAACGATAAGGAACTATAGCAACTCTGGGACCAGACCTAAGGGCAAGACTAAGTCTACCAGCAGGCATATAATACTGTGAAACAACAAGAAAGAAGCTTCCCTCCTAGCCTTAAGCTAAAGGTCCAGATTGCTGAGTGTGAGATCGATAATAGTAACCGACTACTATTCAGAGACTGGATCTAGGTACCAGGTAGTGAAGACCTGGATAGCGAGGCGAACACACTATATACTTATATTGTTCAAAGCAGCTATAACTCAGTACTTAGTGGACACCCTAGTAGAGATAATACCCTCATGTTGGTCAGTAGGCGCTTCTACTAGCCTGGCCAGTCACAGCTAGTATGACGCTTCTGCTGCAATTGCGATAGCTGCGGGCGAAGCCACATCTGGAGAGAGCATTAAAAAGGACTTCTGAAACCTCTACCAATACCGCAGCGTATACGAAGCGACCTCGCTATGGATTTTATTACCGACCTTCCCCTTACAGATAAGGGTGAGGGATACCTTTGGGTAATTATCGACCGGCTAGGAAAAGGTGTAACCCTTAAAGCTATGGAAAGTATGGAAGCTGAAGCCTGCGCTGAACGATTCCTAAGCTGCCACTTCTGCTTCCACAGCGTCCCTACTTCAATTATGAGCGACAGAGGAAGCAACTGGACGAGCCGCTTCTGGCGGCAATTCTGCAAGCTTTTAGGAATAGAACAGCAGCTTAGTACTGCCTATCACCTACAGACTGATGGCGGCCCAGAAAGGATGAACCAAGAGATCCAGGCCTACCTACGCAATTACATTACCTACTCGCAGAAGGATTAGGCGAATAACCTCCCAGCAGCCCAACTAGCGCTCTGCAGCCGCGATAGCAGCGCTATAGGCATGAGCAGCTTCTTCTTAGAACACAGATACCACCCAGAGCCTGTCCGGGTTCAAGAGGCAGACCCAGAAGACCATGAGGGCCCTCGTGAGGACCTGGCACGCAAGTTGGTAATAAGGCTCCAGGACGTGATGGATATGGCACGGTCGACCCTTGCCTCAACGCAGCAACGCTATGAGGAGCTGGCTAACAGGAAGCGCCAGCCTACGGAGAGACTAGAAGCAGGCGACAAAGTCTAGCTTCACATAGGCCACTACAGGTCCCCTAGGCTATGCAAGAAACTGGATTGGTTGCACCATAAGTATACCGTTACGAAGGTTATCTCACCATACGTGGTAGAGCTTAACGTGCCAACGGCTATATACCCACGCTTCCACGTGGATACCCTGAAGCGTGCAGGTAACAACCCTTTACCTGGGCAAACGCTAGATGACGAGCAGCCGCCACCAATTATAGATGACGAAGGCGAGGAGACCTGGAATGTAGAGAGTATCGACGCCGCTACCTAGAAGCGTCGAGGGCGCGGGCGACGCTGCGAAGTTCTGGTTAAGTGGGAAGGATACGCAGAGAGGACCTGGGAGCCTATTGAGACGCTCCAGGGGACAGAAGCATTAGAGGCTTATGAACGCCGTTATGGCTCCGCGATGGAGCATGATGGAGACCCAGCCTTAGGGCCGCGGGCACGCCGCCGGAGGGGAGCGGGGGGGTAATGTCACGGGCTAGAGCCCGGATTGATATCTCCGGCTTTGCCGGAGCAATTACCGAGATCCGGCTCCGTTGGACCCACTACTCTGCCGCGTTACACCGCCTAACCCGGTCTGCTTCACCGCTGTTAGGTGCCTACTCTTGTAAAGTCCTTTCTTCCTTCTTCAGCTGAGAATAGTCAATCGACGGCACCTCTACGTTGAACAAGCCTAGGGGCCAGCCCCTTACAAATCTAGTCAAAGCCTATCTGATTATCTATCTATCTATTAGCTATAGGTTTAATCACCTAGTTGCCCAGAAAACCTAATTCCATAGTCCAACTAATAAGATGATATACACCCTTAACGATTGCAAACAGAGGGATGCACCACCCACCCAAATTAACATATTTAATAACTATAACCTATTTATAGTTGCTAGGCTGGACAAAATTTGCTTTGCTGCGTTAATCAGCATATGTTACCACTATTAACGCAGTAATCATGCCTATCATAAAGCCAGTTTCATCAAAATTATATAGGTCCCCCTCTTAGATACCATACTAAGCCATCATATTGCGTAATAGCGCAAACCACTTTAATATATCCTTAGGATCTTCTTAAAGAGCCCTTTAATAATTATATAGATAATTAAACTTAGTTTTCAGAGCAGGCTATAAGTCCACAAACCGCCTAGCTTATTGCTTACTAATAGGCTTGCTATTACAGGCTTACAGCAGGAGATTAACTATATCTTCCACACTACTGAGGCGGAAAGGAAATCCTCTGGAATCCTATTTAATAATATATTAGAGAAGTGTTTTCTCTTCAATTAGATTAAGTTTATATTATTAGGGTTAAGCTTATTTGCGTTGCAGTTAGTTATTCATTCTATCAGCTAAGGTGCTCTTTAGGATACCATAGGTCTTTACGGCACGCGAAATGCTTAGGTAATTACCTGCAGCGCGTGTTGATCGGATCGCTTTAATCGCGAGAATGACTTTGTCTTCTTGGGTCTAGATTGGCATTATGGTTGTTGAGATTTTACGCGTTAAAGGTTTAAGTGATTTGGACGTAAGAGTGTTTAGAAAAAAACGTCCGGCTGACTGGTCCGGCCGACTGACTGATGAACCATATTATAGTATTAAAAGTATTATAATAATTAATAATAATATCTTCTATATTATAGCTTCTAAGATCTAAAATATAAAAAAAAAACACTTTTTTTACTCTCTAATTTAGTTTATAAAACCTTTTTTCTATATTATTATAATTAATAGCTTTATATTTTTATATTTTTATATTTTTATTAATAACGTTTTTAAGCTAATATTAATATCTTCTTTTTTAAACCCTTAATAATAAATGTAACTCTCTATAAATCTTTACCGCTTTTTCTTATTTAAATAATATTAATAAATAGCTAAAACGTTTTAAAAAATAACTATAATAATAGTTTTCTATTTTAAACTTAATAATAACCTTCATTTTATTATCATAGCTATCTAATAAAAATTTAATAGCTTAATTAAGTTTATTTATATTAACTTTACTTTTTTTTATAATGCTAAATTAATAACTTTTAAGGTTTTTAAAAATGAGTTTATGTCACAGGCTAGAGCCTGGATTGATATCTCCGGCTTCGCCGGAGCAGTTACTGAGATCCAGCTCTGTTGGACCCACCATTCTGCCGCAGTACGCCGCCTAACCCAGCCTGCTTCACCGCTGTTAGGTGCCTACTCTTGTAAAGTCCTTTCTTCCTTCAGCTTAGAATAGTTAATCGACGGCACCTCTACGTTGAACAAGCCTAGGTGCTAGCCCCTTATATATTCTAAGCTTTACAATAAAAGACGCTGATGAAACCTCATGAGAGTGATACGACCGATTCGCTAGAGGGTAGCGTAACAAGAAGGCGCTATATGAAAACCTCATAAGTGCGACACGATAGATTCGCTAGAGGGTAGCGTAAACGATGCGATAACTGCAGAGATTAACCGCAGGGTTAACAAAGCAGTTAACGTAAGTATATATCCTCTTTAGGACCAGATAACGCAGCTCTTAACAGCTCTAAATAGGCTTATATCAAC